CTTCATTAAATGCCTAGTGGCAAATGCCTAGTAATAAATACAACTTTTAATGTTTTTTTTCTAACCTACCTTTTAATTAATTACAAACTTTTGAAGAATTTAACTTGCTAAGAATTTATTTTTAGTTCTGTTTAAAAGAAAATAAAAATGCAGAATCACAAGGAGTTTGATGTAACAGCAAGTGTGAGGGTTAAGCCAGAGGGAAGGTCAGTTTTCATGCAAATGGCTTTTGAAGTTCTAAATCAATAGCTGACATGTACCTGGGTTAAAGTAATGAAAAGGTAATATATGATCAAACTTCATCAGACAATTTAATAATAAAATAGGCAGCAGGTGAAAAAACCCCGACAAACCCCAAAGAACAAAAAAAAATAACAGAAAACAACCAACCTCCCAAGAAGCCTCAACCCAAACAAACAACAACCTACAGGCACATCTCGGGGACGCCAGCGGTAGCAGTTCCCTTCCCGTTTAATTGCAGTTGGCATGTGGGGTTCAGTCAAGTGCTTTGCATGGACTAGATTTGGGAGTAAAGACTGGGATACAGGAACCTTATTCAAGGTGAATCTGATGTTATCACAGTGAAGTAGAAGAGTATGTGTGGTCAGATGGACCCGATATAATTTAGCTGAGAGAAAGGTAATTTATTATACTGTAGATTTGAATGCATGTGATCTGATGATATTTCTAAAGGGCAGAACTTCCAGGTGGGCCTGTGCTGTGAAGGTTTGTTTAGGCTGTGCACTGGTGATGGCTCCATCGTTACAGCTGTGCATCCCTGTATTTCTCAAAGTTGTGCAAGGGCTCAAGTTCTGTGGAAATATCGAAGTTGCTATTCTGCAAAATAATATTGTATTGGCTTTGTGTGGCAAGGTTTTGGTAGCGGGGGGGGTGGTGGTGGTTACAGGGGTGGCTTCTGTGAGAAGCTGCTGGAAGCTTCCCCTGTGTCCAACAAAGCCAATCCCAGCCAGCTCTAAGACGGACCCGCTGCTGGCCAAGTCTGAGCCCATCAGTGATAGTGGTAGTGCCTCTGTTGTAACAGTTTTAAGAAGGAAAAAATAAGTTGCTGGGACAGACAGAAACGGCAGCCGGAGAGAGGAGTGAGAACCTGTGAGAGCCCCAGCCCTGCAGACCCCCAGGTCAGTGCAGAAGGAGGGGCAGGAGATGCTCCAGGCGCTGGAGCAGAGCTTCCCCTGCAGCCCATGGGGAAGACCACGGTGAGGCAGGCTGTCCCCCTGCAGCCCAGGGAGGTCCACAGTGGAGCAGATCTCCACATGCAGCCCGGGGAGGACCCCATGCCAGAGCAGGGGATGCCCAAAGGAGGCTGTGACCCCGTGGGAAGCCTGGGCCGAGGCAGGCTCCTGGCAGGACCTGTGGCCCTGTGGAGAGAGGAGCCCACGGAGCAGGTTTTCTGGCAGGACTTGTGACCCTGTGGGGGACCCATGCTGGAGCAGTGTGCTCCTGAAGGACTGCAGCCCATGGGAGGGACCCACACTGGAGCAGTTTGTGAAGAACTGCAGCCCATGGGAAGGACCCACGCTGGAGCAGTTCATGGAGAACTGTCTTCTGTGGGTGGGACCCCACGCTGGAGCAGGGGAAGAGTGTGATGAGTCCTCCCCCTGAGGAGGATGAAGCAGCAGAAATAACATGATAAACTGACCATAAACCCCATTTGCTGTCCCCCTGCACCGCTGGAGGGGGGGTAGGTAGAGAGTCTGGGAGTGAAGTTCTGCCCAGGAAGAAGGGAGGGCTGGAGGGAAGGTGTTCTGAGATTTGGTTTTATTTCTCATTACCCTAATCTGGTTGATTGGTAATAAATTGAGTTAATTTTCCCCAAGTTGAGTCTGTTTTGCCCGTGACAGTAATTGGTGAGTGATCTCTCCTGTCCTTATCTTGACCCACGAGCCCTTTGTTATATTTTCTCTCCCCTGTCCAGCTGAGGAGGGGGAGTGATAGAATGGCTTCGGTGGGTACCTGGCGTTCAGCCAGGGTCAACCTGCCACAAATATAAATATTGCATATATATTAGAATTAAGCACTAGAGAGCATAGTTTGTACAATGGGATAAAGATCTCTGGAATACATTTGTTTTACTTTGAGTTGCATTTAATGGGAATACACTTTATAACTTTAAGTGCATTATTGAATAGTTACAACTTTGACTACATCTGCCTAAGCCATACTTATGTATGATTGGTTAAAATATCTTACTTTGAAGTTCTATTAGATTACTGCAAAGGGAGGAAAAAAATCTTCTGTTCTAACATGCAAAAGTTTCATTGTTCTGCCAGAAAAATTACATCTTTGCCAAGCAAAATAAATCTATTTTGAAAGGAATGTTGAAGGACAGAAAAGATTTTTAGGATAGCCAACTCATAGTTTCTGCAAGTGAATCTTGAGTTATGAGCAAGTGAGTTTGAACTTGTAAGATATCATCTGCTACTCTTGGAATTACTGCAGTCCTGGATCTTGCCCCAAGGACGCCACTGTAATTAGGAAGTAGCTTAAACCTTCATCAAGGGGCAAACTTCAGAGTACCTGAAGTGCTGCAGGTTCATACCTCACTTACTTCAATACAGTTCATCCTCCATTCCTCAAAAAAATCCTGAGGCCATTCTGGGTATTGTGTCTTACTTCAGTTCAACAATATTTCAAAGCATCTTGTATCTTTCTGCAATTAAAGCATTTCATCATGGGAACCCACACTTCTCTTCTTTGGTTCTGCCATGAGTTATTTTCAAGACTATTTGCAGGTTAATTAACTTCTTTGCATATTGGTTACTTAGTCTGTAAAGTGCAATATTAGTTCATAAACACTGTGGAGGTGGTCAGATAGTATCATAGTGTCATTACCACTGTCATTCATCTGAGGTTTAGTTTTATTCTGCCTCACCCTGTTCTGTCTTTGTAAATGCCACAGGTGGAGCTTCTGGGAGTAGGTAGAAGGAGTATGTCTCCAGTACCACAGGCTGAGAGGAATGAGGTGCACTGCCAGTCTGGTGTGCTCATCACGTCTTGTCTTCGATCCATATATACCATAAAATAAAATTTTTCTTTGTCTCTGCCATCTACTTGTTCTATGTTATTTAAAAATAAAATAAAAAAATATTGAAAGATGGCAGTACATACAACTGTGTGCTTGGGGTATAGGCACTGTATTTAGGATTTAATCTGTAGGTGGAGTGTGACCTGCAGTTTTCCATTTACTCAGAGATACCCCAGTAGTAAGATACCCTCTAGTTCGTTATGTAGTTGTGAGCAGCTTCTGTTAATGCTTGGTTTGTCCCCAGGGCAACTCTGAATAGCTTCTTTCTCTTCCACAGTATGCCCTGTATATATACAATTACATAAAGTAGCTTCTGAAATATTTTTATATTGCTTTTACTAGTTATAACTTGGATACTACTGGAGAGCACGGTTTTCAGTTTATCAGGAGTAAAATCAAGAAAGTCTGTTAATTCAATTACTTCTTAACATATATTAAAATGTTCAAGTGACTTTTAACTCTAGACTTTGTGGTCTTTAAGTCAGTATTAATTTTTAGGCTTATTCTGTTTTAAATAATTTGTTATACATAGCTTTGGAATATAATTTGGTGCCTGCATATGAAGAATAAATTTTGAGTTCTCTGGACACTTTACAAATCTGTTGGTGAAGTTTATGCTGAAGTAGCTACAGTCTAATTAAATATATGTATATACACACACATTGTATAGATTGTGCATTACTGTCTGCATATTTTCCTTACAAAGCATTATGCCCTTTTTTTAATTTTATGATTCGCAACTTCCTGGCTGCCAAAAGGCTGTTTGAAAAATCTTTAGGAAAGAGGCTGTAAATATGTCATTACAAAACAAATCACAGGTTCTCACCCCCTCAAGGCTTCAGCTGAAAGGAACAAGCACTTTTAAGATGGTTCTTTGTAAAATAAATTCATCCATAACAGTTAAATATAACCACTTTGATTACTTGGAGGTTAGAAAAAATACTTTCTTTTTTTAATCTCCCTATTACATGAGCCCCTTAAACAGTTTCACAAAGAGAAGAACATGCTGCAGAAGATTTTTCTTTTTATGGTAAGTACTATAGTGGCAGATGCTGAAGACAGAACTGAAGAAGCTTTGAAGTTTAAAAACCAGAGTCTCTACAATGTAAGCACAAGAGATCTGCCCTTTAGGTAGAATTGTAAGAGTCATTTCTCCTCTATATAGTGGGCACAGAAAGGTGTGTATACTGCTCAAGTCCTTTGTAGAGGCATAAAAACTGAAAGGCAGCAGTTAGTTTTAAACCTTACTGATTTATTTTTTTGTTTGTTTGTTTATGTAATTCAGATGGATGTACAAACCTCAAATAAATACAAGGCAGGCTGAAGGTCTGGCTATTGTAATACAAGCAGTAGATCTGCTATTACCAAGTTTTCCTGCAAGAGGAAAATGCAGTTATTGCAATGTTTACTACAGAAGAGACCAGAAGTGAAATAGAGATGTTCACTTGTGTTTAAAAGAACAAACAACTTTTCTTATTTTTTACCTTTTTTTTTTACACTACTTCATTTATAGACTTTCAATGCAGCCTTAGTTTAATGGACAAGATGCTAAACACTGTAAAGCGAGGATCTGTGGATCTCGAGGTGTTTAGCACACTCGGTATGAGAGTGCTTCTAAAAATAAGTTGTTTACTTCAGTTCTGCATCTGAATACTGAGAGCTATCGCTTCCTTGGTTTTTCCTCAGAACTCCTGCTGCCTGTCTGAAAACAGATGAAAAATAAGTTATTTCATATTTTCATCATACAAAATTTGAACAGAATACTTCTATTGAAAGGTGATGGTTTATTACTCTTGAGGATTAAGTTGCAATCAGATAACTGGCTGTTTCCTTTGTGAGGACATCAGATAACAAAAAAAGCACAACTACTGTATTTCTTCGATACAAAAATGTATGTTTAAGAGCCTATATTTCTTGGTTAGAAAAATGGCTAATTCTCTTAATTTTATTTCAGCTTTACTTTTGGAAGCTCAGTCAACGCCGTTTCAAATAACTCCTTCAACCATGGCAAATATAGTGAAAGGCCTGTATACACTACGACCAGGTAAAAAAAGAAAAATGTTTCTAGGAGTCTCTCATACTGTGGTTATGTTATGTTTTCCTAAATATGTATTCGGTTGCTGTCTATCTAATGCACATTTAACAAACAAATGTGCATTGTGTTCTGTCCATCATAATGCTTAGTGTCTACTATGCAAAGGCCCTGGTTCTTCTTGTTGCCCATTTCTGTGACCTGGGTACCATGTGAACACCAAATTAATTTTGAAAAAAACAACCCAACCCTCTACTCTGGGGACAGAGGGAACACCAATTTCTTTTGCTTTGTAGAAATAAAGAAAGAAGGCTGTTTAAGAAGTCAGTCATGGCAGAAGTTTAGAAGTATTGAAATAGTGAAAGTTATATTGTGAGTTGCACTTCAGCCAGATCTTTGACATGAGATGACTGTTTTGTCTATGAAGCCATTACTTGGTTGGTATTATTTCATGGAAGAGCTTAATTTAACTTGTGAGTACATCATGACATCTTGTGCAACAGCAGTTATATTGATAGAAAAATGGTGTTGCAGATTTTAATCAATTTTGTACCAAAATCTTTGGTTCTGTAAGTTTTGGAGAACCGAGCAGAGCTCTAGCCTGTGTTTGAAAAGACTTTAGAAACAGGGAGTATTCAAAATATCCGTTTAAAAAATGGTACCTGATTCCCTTCCTTTTGCAATACTGATACTTTCTTCTTACCTTGGTGGGACTGAGAGGATTGTGTCTGAGCTTCAGTCTGGTTTTGCTTTGCAATCCATGTTTACAGAAATAGAAATGAGGATGGGAGAGCTTTACAAAAAAAGCCCTTTTCTGTAGTGCAATGTTTAGCATGTATACACGTCAGGAACGTGGTGGACCCTCCATTTACAAAATGCATGGATAAAGCACTTTCAGTAAGCAAAGATTATTTTTACAACAGCAAAATTAACATCCTACCATAATTTTTGAAGGCAATACTAATTTCATTTTTATAAACTGTTCAGTACCAAAGGAAGGAGGGTTATATACATAAGTATAAAAGTATAATTCTTCTGAAAGCAGCTCAGTATGGTTTTGTTGTGCTGCACTTAGTATTGTAGATGATGGACTTACGATTTCCCAGTTGTCCATTTCAGATGATGCCTGTCTTGCTGTCTACTATATAACACAACAGACATTGGTTTGGGTTGGTATCATGGGCCTAATCAGATTTTTGAATAGTTGTCTTATGTCTGTAAGATCTTTAAGTATAAAAAAATGTTCCTACAATTCGTGATGCCTGCTTTTCACAGCTGGGTATGAAGACCCAGGTGATTGACTTTAAGCTAGTGCTTAAACAGATACACATTTGCTCTAATTACCTGCTCCTCAAACTTCTCAGCCTCTGAGAAAACGAGAAACTTTAATGTCATTCCAACCAGAAGAGCACAGGATAGACTTATTGATGTAAAAGGCTGTTCTTTGGTGGTGCTGGTTTTTGAGGATTAATTCTGAAACAATCAGGGCAAGAGTTCCTCTGAGGTAGTGCAGCTCACTTATTCTGTGGGACATGCTCCATTGGATGTATCATGGGGACTGGGGAGCAGATAACTGGGAAGTAAAGCGTAAAATGTGGCCAGTGGGAGGTGCTGGGGGATTAAAGCAGCACTGGGAATCATCTGTTTAGGCAGCGCAGAGAGCAAATGGAGAAGTGATGCTTATGTGGCTGGTGGCCATGGACTTTCTCTTCTCTTTCTCTTCTGTTACTTTCTCTTCAAGTTGCAAGTACTTGACAGCTGTTAGACTTCAAAAGTTGCCAGAAAAGACTGTCTTCTAATTCTAGCTCAGCACGCGGTGGCCCCAGTAGAAAAGGCTGAAGCCTGGGCAGGTGCTTGGGCTGCTAGTTGGCCTACTTGGATTTAATGTGAAATACTCTTTTCACCTCACCTATAATGATCTGGTAGTGGCATGAAATACCATACCACAGTATTTCATGTTGTGAATTCCAAGACAGTTTATTAGCTTAGCTAAATTATTCAGTAGCGGTAGGTTTTTTTGTAGGTAACATGTTCTGCATGGTACTTTTTTGCTGTATTTCATAAGATGAAAAATGCCATTTCATGTCTGTAGAGTGTTGTTTGTTTTGTTGGTTTGGTTTTGGGGGGGAGGGGGGTTGGTTTTGTTTGTTGTTTTTTTTTTTTAATCGAGTACTGCTATGGTCTGTGGGATCTGTGGAACTACAGGCCTGTCAGCCTGACCTTGGTGCCAGGGAAGGTTATGGAGCAGATTATCTTGAGTGCCATCACACGGCATGTACAGGACAACCAGGTGATCGGGCCCAGCCAGCATGGGTTTATGAAAGGCAGGACCTGCTTGACCAACCTGATCTCCTTCTGTGACAAGGTGACCTGCTTAGTGGATGAGGGAAAGGCTGTGGATGTTGTCTACCTGGACTTCAGTGAAGCCTTTGACACCATTTCCCACAGCATTCTCCTGGAGAAACTGGCTGCTCGTGGCTTGGATGGGTGTACGCTTTGCTGGGTAAAAAGCTGGCTGGATGGCTGGGGCCAAAGAGTTGTGGTGAATGGAGTGAAATCCAGCTGGTGTCTGTCACAGGTGGTGTTCCCCAGGGCTCAGTACTGGGGCCAGTATCTCTGTCAATGATCTGGACAAGGGGATCAAGTGCACCTGCAGTAAGTTTTCAGGTGACACCAAGTTGGGTGGGAGTGTTGATCTGCTGGAGGGTAGGAAGGCTCTACAGAGGGATCTGGACAGGCTGGGTCAATGGGTCGAGGCCAGTTGTATGAGGTTGAACAAGGCCAAGTGCTGGGTCCTGCACCTGGGTCACAACAACCCCACGCAGCGCTACAGGCTTGGGGAAGAGTGGCTGGAAAGCTGCCTGGTGGAAAAGGACCTGGGGGTGTTGGTCGACAGCTGAATGTGAGCCGGCCGTGTGTCCAGGTGGCCAAGAAGGCCAACGGTATCCTGGCCTGTATCAGAAACAGTGTGGCCAGCAGGAGCAGGGAGGTGATCGTCCCCCTGTACTCGGCACTGGTGAGGCCGCACCTCGTGTCCTGTGTTCAGTTTTGGGCCCCTCGCTGCAGGAAAGACATGGAGGTGCTGGAGCGTGTCCAGAGGAGGGCAATGAAGGTGGTGAGGGGTCTGGAGAACAAGTCTTACGAGGAGTGGCTGAGGGAACTGGGGTTGTTTAGTCTGGAGAAGAGGAGGCTGAGGGGAGACCTTATCGCTCTCCACAACTACCTGAAAGGAGGTTGTAGCGAGGTGGGGGTCGGTCTCTTCTCCCAAATACCAAGTGACAGGATGAGAGGAAATGGCCTAAAGTTGTGCCAGGGGAGGTTTAGATTGGATATTAGGAAAAATGTCTTCACCGAAAGGGCTGTCAAGCACTGGAAGAGGCTGCCCAGGGAAGTGGTGGAGTCACCATCCCTGGAGGTATTTAAAAGATGTGTAGGTGTGGCGCTTAAGGACATGGTTTAGTGGCGGACTTGGCAGTGCTAGGTTTAGAGTTGGACTCAATGATCTTAAGGGTCTTTTCCGACCTTAAATGATTCTATGATGAGGGAGCTTAGTGCATTGTTTTCTGTTTAAACCTGCACATATAGTAATGATTATTTAGTGAGTTTGCTGATTAAAGACTGTTGAAGCTTGGCATGGACCAAGTAACCAAATATGGGAATTGGATAAAAACTCGTCATGTGCCTTAGTGAATATGTTTAAAAGCATCCCTTTTTCGAAGTAAAGATGAGGTTTAAGATAACTGCTAGAACCTCTGGAAAGTCTGGCTTCAGAAATACTTGAGGAGTATTTATTTTTCTTAGAACTTCTTACACAGTTGCTATAAACCCCATTTTCATCTTTTGCTCAGTCTTCTGTGTTTCTTATCATCAGCCTTGAAGCAACTTTAACATAATCTGTCTTGCTTCTGTAAGGCAATGTTCAGTGTAGTGAAATTAAATCACATTTCTATCCTGAAGCTGAACTAGTACAGGTTAAAATTATATAACAAACGTTAAAAAGTGTTCATCTAAGCTCTGGAAGATCAGTGAGAGAATTGCATTAATTCATTTGAAATGGGGGATGGAGAAGCAGGGTTGTATGGTGATACTACTGTGCTTTCTAGAAGTAAGGCTCAGGGAAGAGAGGTGTAAATTTTGTGAATACACTTCCTGGAGTAAAGTGTTACAAATGAGCTGATTTATCAAGGTGAGTTTGCTGATCGTCATTACCTGTCCATGAGAATGTCCAGAGACTCAGCAGGCCCTACGAGATGCAGCAAGAACTGAATTTCAATTTGATGATGACGTTGATGAGCAAAAAAACCCAGTAATTCCATTATCTACATGTAAACATCTGATTTTAAGAGTTTGATTATGTGTTCTACTTTAAGGCTTGGTTTCTGTGGTTTTGGGGGGATGCTTTGGGGTTTTTTGTTTTTGTTGTTTTTTAATTCAAGATCCTAAAATGTATTTAAATAGAGCAAAGTTACATTTGTCAAAGAGTAAAATTTTCAAAATATCTTTTCCATGTGTTTTGTTGTTGCTTTCCTCCTTCTTACAGAATGGGTACAGATGGCACCAGCTTTATTTTCTAAATTCATCCCAAATATTCTACCCCCTGCTGTGGAATCTGAGCTTCAGGAATATGCTGCTCAAGACCAGAAGCTTCAAAGAGAGCTTATGCAGAATGGATTTACTAGGTAATAATTATTAATCTTCAGTAGTAATTGTGCTGGATATCTAATTGCTGGATATCTATTGAAGAAATAATTTAAGAGTTAATAAAGAACCTTCGGAACTCAGTATCTGAAATATGGCCTTATTTTCCATACATTTTGAGCACTACCAACCCTGCAGATGGTACCAGAAAGTAGATGATCAGAAGTCTTGAGATATTTTCATGAAACAGATTGCTTACAGTTCATGCCTCCCTGTGTTTTGATTGCGCTTCTAATGTGTGATCATGCTCCTGTTCAGCCTTTACTTTGGCCGTTTATTTTCTATAAGCTGACTTTTTTTCATGATGCTTCTGAAAATGTCAGTTGATGACTTCTTATTCCACTTTCAGAGCTATTTTATACTGTCAAGGTGTTTATTTTAAATAGGTATTTCTCTTCTGGCTATTGAATTGGGGGGGGAGAAGAACAAACAGTAAAAGAGACAGTGGAAAATTTTTGTAACCTATATTGTTCACTCTGGGCTGTGCCTGTTGCTCTGTGCTCTTCTATTTAACTGTCTAGACAGAAGCACAGCGCTTTCACCACAGCAGTGTGCCACTTTTGCAGTAGTCTGACAAACCAAGATCAAGCTGGGGAAGCTATTGTGCTCTGTTCCCAAGAGGTTCGTGAAGGGAATACATCTTCATCTTTCCTGTTACCTGTGCAGTGCTGAGAATCTGGTCCTGTAGTTTGAAGACCCACTAGACATGGTTATGTTTAGTGTTAGATGTGCTCCTGGATTTCATACTCTTGTGTGGTTTTCCTTGAAGGTAATCTCTCTCTTTAAAGCTTGGTAAATTATTGAGCTTCAAAACTCTACTACTGACCCAAATGCAAATGGTATTGTAGACTCGTTCCTTGTAAGGCTTTCTGTTGAGGAAAAGAATTTTTTGATAGATATGCATGAGTTAAGACGCTAAAAGCCATAAGAGCTTGGGCTGAGAAAAGCAGTGCGTTTGGCCCAAGAAATAGAAGTTTAGACTTTGAAACTGAGTGAACATATAATGCTGACAGAAGATTGTAACGCACAGAACAAAACAAAACCAAGAACATTTTTTGTCTAACTTTCAATCTTACTAATTCTGTAGGTGACTTATAGTTCTGCTTACAACTGCATTTCACCAGTTTTACACTCCATAGAGAATTAAGAGTGAAGTTTCAAGTAGTAACAGTCCATATCCACAAAAAAATTGGTTTCAAAAACATTTTTCCCTAGGTACCTGAAAATAAGACAGGCTTGTCAGCTTGACTGTGAAGTTCTTTGGCTGGTACTGTGAGGAGGATACTGTATAAAAGGCTAGGAAGGGTAGTAGGAAGGATGCTGACCATTGCAAAGGCAACATGCCTCTGTTGTGCTTTCCTGTTACAGACTTGGTGGGATCTTTCAGAATATATTTTAGCAACTCCTGTTTTATGCAGAAAAGTAATTCTCTAGCACTGGAACTAATGCAAATCCATAGGAAACTGTTTCTATCCTGTGTTATAGGTGGGGACAAAGAAGAGATGAGGGCTTGAGGATAGTCATACAAGGAAGAACTGAGTAAAGGTTTCTCTGTCACAGGTTGTTTGCAGAGTCTAATTCCTAAGAGTTCCTCTTTCTTTTGGCTTTCTGCAGCATGTGGTGATCTGGCTATTGGACATGTGAAGAGTTTTGGTGTGCCTTATAGGTTTAGAAAATTGGCCCACTCTAGCCCATGCTTTTGTGCAACTGCTGTTTCTACGTAGCTTGCTTTCAATTTATTAAATAAAAATGCAAAGTAAAACTTTGCAGTGGAATAACTGATTGATGGCATTTAGTCTCTGATGAATGTGTTTTGCACAGTGTATTTTATATGGTTGTACTGCGAGGGAGTCAGTGCAGTCTGGTAAACATAGAGGTTATATAAAGTGTTAGAGTTGAGTCTGTCATCATTAAAAGGACACAAGGAACACAAACCTGAGGTACAGGTAATATATTTGCTGCATGCCATTTTGCAGTGGTATTTGAAATGCATTTTACCTTGAAATGTATTTCAAGATGTAATGTGCTTCTTCCTGTGTTATGAACATAGATTATATTTATTTATAGTTTTTCAGAATTGTTATGAGGTTATATTCCTACACATATAGATGTTTATATTTATATGTATGAAAGGATTGTTTTTCTCTTTTAGCAAGTAGTATGCCAAGTCTGTTCTCTTCTGGGTTAGTATGAAATGTCATCTGTTTTCTAATTGCGCCAAAAAATGATGTCGTCTTTGCTGCTGCGTTTCCTACAACAATACCCATAAGGAACACAGCACAGTGAGGTGTCTTCAGCAGCATTAATGTCATGTCAGGCTCTGGTTTAAATAGTCAGCTTATCAACACTGTTAAATACTATTGCTGCAGCAAGTGGGAATACAAGCCAGTTCATTGCTGGTATTTCTCTTGTGAAGGACCTTAATTAAGGCATACACAGCAGATCCATCACCTTAAGAGTGGTTTCAGGGAAGAACGCTTCATGTTATTCAAAAAAACCGCTATTTCTACCAACTTCCAGAAGATAAATATGAAATTACAACCACTGTGATGAAAATATATTGAAATCTTTCTTCCTTATATAACACTATCAATAGCATATCTGTCATCACAAGAAACTGGTGAAGCAGCAGGATTTTCCAGCTTTAAGAGTTTGTGTGCACAAGAAAAAAAGGAAAAAAAAAAGTTTTCCAAATAGACGGGAATTTGACTTTGGGTTTTCAGGAGCAGTGATGTCAACTGGTGTTTACACAACTTTAGTTATTTATTTAAATCCTCTGCTTGAAGAGGGAATGCTGGCAGCTCAGACTTGCTTAGGGTCTGATTGTTGGGTTTTCAGGAGCATCTTACCTTTTTAGACTGATAGATGCAGAATTTTTCAAATAATTCTATAAAGTTTAGTTGAGGAGTTTGAATTAAGGAAAACAGTTTTATGCATGACTTAAGACCACACTGCATATGAGCAGTTTTCCTCATCTTAATTTTATAAAAATCAAACCTACTATCTTTAACAAAAGGATGGGTTAATTAAATCTATAAAATACAGCTTATACTTCTGTTTTAGTAAATTGAGAATCCTGCGTTCATGTGTTATTGCTACTATGTTTGCATTTTGTTTCTAAAGTCTGTAAAAGTTGATGGTTGTGTGGAGGTACTTCACTATTGTTTTCCCTTTTTTAAAATCATAGAATGGTTTGGGTTGGTACGGACCTTTAAAGGTCATCTAGTCCAACTCCCTTGCAATGAGCAGGGACATCTTCAATTAGGTCAGGTCATCATGAAAATACCTTTCTTCCCCTTCTTTCCTAGAGGTGACCAGTCACGCAAGAGAGCTGGAGAAGAGTTAACTTACAGTAAGTATGCGTCTAACCCTGCCCTCCAGTGTGCTACAGTCCCTGACGGGTTGGGCATACAGGTAGTGGTGGGCTTCTGGGTTCTTGGGGGATGGTAAGGTGTCAGAGGCTACATCTCCACACGCAGCTAGCTGTCTGCCAATGTAAACTTTACCATTCTAAGTAATAATAGGCACTTCTTGGATCTAGAGCCTGGCTGACTGTGCTGGAGTGCCACAGCCACCTGTAAGGTAGTAAGATATCCTAGCTACTGAGGCCAAGAAATTTCCACTTCATTTAAGTGGAAGCTGAGGTCTTGAGGAAAAAGGACATAGTTGTCCCAAGTCTCTGCCTGGTCAGGATACACAACAGGCAATGAAATGATGAGCCAGTCCACCTCTGATATAAATCACCTGCTGTGACAGAATGGAGAGTTTGGAGGGGTTTTTAACTTGGAACCCTCAATTAGTGTCTAATACGATCTGGGATCCACCTGCGTTGAGACACTAAAGGCAGTATTTGGCCACAAATATTCAAGTCATGCAGCAGGGAATTTCTCTTCCATTTGTAGATAAAGTCTCTTGCTGCATGTTTAACTGTAAGATTCTTCACTTTGTTACTCCCTTAATTTCCCCCCCCCATATAGTTTAGGGAGCGGGGGGAAGAGACACAGGGAGGAATTGTATTTCCATTCTCAGTTGGTTGCTCTACTCCAGACAGCCCTAATTTGGGTGCAGTCAGTCAAAGGTCTCATCTTCTCTGCTGACTAAATATCTAGCCAGGAGAGAATCTAGTCCCATACATTCTATGTTAGGATTGAAGTACAAAGTCCTGATTGTCATTAAATAGGCTTGGGGATTGGGGAATAGTATCTGTTCTGGTACTGTTGTTAACTTCAGTTCATTTTATTGCATTCTTTCCACCAAGTTCCCTCCTGTGCTTTCAGCTGAGTGTGTTCACTCAATTTCCTACCATAAAATGTCACATGGTTTTATGATGAACTCTTATTACAACCTGAAATGAGTGAATGGATGTTTACGTGGTATATCAGCTTCTGTTTACACTGTTAACGTTTTGCAGGCAATGCTGGTTTTTGGGCTGTTGGGGGAAGGGGGGCAAAGGACATAAGGTGGAATTTTAATATGAGAGAATTTCTTGAACTTTTTATGTAATTTCAGATGGCTCATCAGCTTGTGCAAGCTCCAGGGGGTACAGATAGTGAATATACTGGATCAGCTTCTATTCCTAGCCAGAACAGACACTGGAGGAGCGCAGGTGGTATCCGGAGCCTCCTTTGGCAACTGCTGATACTCGAGCTCTGACACGAACTATGCCTCAAAGAAGAATTTTGGACTTTCTTCTTTATATAATAAAATGTCAGTTGCTGCTACAATTGGGATGACTTTGAAAGACATGATTCCTTGGTCTAGCCTCTCAACAAGTTCATGTTCTGCGATTTTTGTGAGGAATGCACCTTGAAAAACAATCCTTTCAAAGTGGAAATGGGCAGCCAAAATCAGCAGCTTCCAAAAGCGTTAGAATGGAAGAATCTTTTTTGCACTCTTTTCTTAAATATTAAGGACATTCTTAAAACTAGTTAACACGTCAGTGTATTAGTTTTTAAACTTCAAGGTATTTTCTGGAGCTTTTCCTTAAATAATAAGAATAAATTTTCATTATTTTGCAGTATTTGTTCATTAGTTTAAAAGTTGTCACCTTTTAAGAGTTGGTCCCATATAAATGTATCTTCTGTCAGGGAGTTTTAAATTCCAGATTTTCTTTTATCTCTTTTTTTGTTACTTGGTATTTTGAAATCTGTTTTCCTATGTGTTTGTACTCTGTGCCTTCAGCTTGTGCACTTTGCAACTTTATAGACCATATTTTGTTACTGCAAAATGTGTTCTTGAGGAAAAACTTGATGTGAACAAACATGCTGCAAAGTTGCACTTTCTCTTTGCATTAATGGGAGGTGAATTTAAGGAGAAAGGAAGAAAAGTTGAACCTATCAGCATCACTAATAGTAACTTGAAGTTTGTCCACTTTTTTTTCATATGTATTAGTGTTTAATGCTGGGACCAACTCTTGTAGAACCCCTCTCATTGACTTTTCATTGGCTTCCATAATTGCAATAGATTGAGATGTGAATTCCAGACTGAATGAAATACTAAGATGTGTATTATGCTGTGCTATGTAGAAACATTGTGGGCAAAAATCTCCAGTCTCGTAGGTCTGCAAAGTGCATCTCCATCAGCACAAACCAGATTTGCACCTGATTAATCGGTGAACAATGGTACCTGTCCAAGATCACTTTGTGGCTCCTTGTGCCATTTCTCCTGCTTTGGGGATGTGATGGGGGGTGTGATAGTGGATGTGGTGAGAATCGGGGAGTTGAGGAGTGGTGTAATGCATGTGTGTGTACCCATCAGCCTCCTGCTTCCAGTCTTGTGTAAACTTGGCTGGAGATCCAGCTGAGCCCAGGAGATCTGGATCTATGGTCTAAACCCTAATGATTGTGACATGGGTTTGTAGTATGGCTAATGCAATTCTTTCATGAGGGGAGAAACATACTTGAAAAAACAGTGTGACTACAGGTTGTGGGGTTGGTTTTTTTTATTACTATGGATTTATTTTTTATCACCTTTAGTTATGAAGAGAAATGAGTTGGTAATATAAAATCTTTCTGAAGTGAAACAAAAGTTTGTTCAGTTTTGTCTTGCACAACCCTTATGCCTGTTTAAAAAACCCACACAAAAACCTGACACAACCCCCTTTATGCTTGCATGAATTCATTACAAAATGCAGGAAAAAGATAAAAAATAGATGCGGCAGGGACAAAGTTTCTTTTTGTTTTGTAGCCAGGCTTCATGTAAATGAATTTAATTCTATCAGTTTCACATCAGCCACTTTGGCAATGCTGTTAGTTTGGAGGGGGTTGGGGGTGGAGGGGGGAGAATGAGAAGGACACTGCTGTGATTGACAGATTCACCTTTATATTTCTTTGCTTATTTGCAAAACCTGTTTAATTTTGAGGAAGTTTTTATTTTAAAAGTAAAAATGAATGCTTTAGTGTTTTGTTTTCTATGCAGAACAATGCCAGCAGTCTAATCTCTTCCCCAACAGTGGAAAACCAAACCACTCTGAGTAGGGATTTTTCAAGTGTTGATAATGTTTGCTTCAACTTTGCTACCAGCTACTTAAGTTGAAGCAGAATTAGATAAAAACAGGGGTTTTGAAAGTTTTACTGAAGTATGCAGTGGAGAAGTTAATGAAGGCTAATAGGGAACAAAAATGATTTGCCAGCTTCCAGATTTTTATTAGTTTTGGCTTTAAACAAAAATAAAACCTCTGATAGTGTCCTTAGCTTTAAAAATCACTGTTTGCTGAAGTGACAATATTCTTGAGTTAAGAATAGATGCATTAACCTAATTTGGTTAAAGTTTGTTTACAACTTCATTACCATTCTAGTTCACATAACACAGTAATCAAGCTCTGTCATCTTTGTCAAGTGATCACAATTTTTTTTCTGTTCTTAAAGTGGTTTTACTGGTTCAAGTTTGTAAATAACACGTCGTGCTTTTGCTTCAAGTTTGAGGCAAGGGTTCAACATTCATTTTACATTGCATTAAGTTTGGGACACAAACTTCTAGAACAGTGATTCCATCAAAAGGTAAAACATTCCTGTCAGCGTGTTTCACTTCTTATGCACTGAGTAGTGCTTGGATGCTTCTCAGTCCTGTGTAGCATTTTCACTTGGCCACCATACCTGAGAAATCTGTCTGTTAAGCACTGTATTATGTTGTAAATTTGGCATTAAAATTCCTGTATGTTTTGGCATTATTAACATAATGCTGAAATATTGTTTATCTGTTTGAAGACGTTATCATTGTGACTGAGCATGAAACAGAATACAGCATACTATACTAGATTATTTTGTTTCTCTGTAAACTTGCATTTTACTTACAGTAAAACTAACTCAGCCAACTTGAGCATCGGTACTGTAAAGCCACAATTACGAACAGCATGATCCTAATTGCAGTATTTAATTTAACCAAATAACTTGTGGTAAATCCGTTGCATCTGTAGCTTACTCTGTTAAGATTAAGAGTAAAGTCAGTTATACAATGGGTGTCCTCTTTATGTTGCACTGGTTCTATAGCCAAACTTGCTACATTAAAATATTTTTAGATTAATTTCATTTCTTGATTTGGGAAGTTGAAATATTTAAATTCATCCTGCTGACTACTATAATGGTAGGCAATTGTCAACATATGGTCAAGATAGTCTTTGATACAAATGATGAAGGTGGGGGTCTAAGTAGATAAGTACTCAACTCTTCTACGGTTGGATCTCCTTTCTGCAGTTGTTGAAGAAGTGTTCGTGAATGAATACTTTGAAGCAAAAGTTTTTGACTCTTGTCATTCGACAGAGATATGATCAGCTAGATTAGTCGCTTTTCATTTTTCCCTGACATGATTGTTTACTTTCTACAGGTTAAAAAAAAGAAACTACGAAGGACATGTTCTGAGCAACCGAAAAATGTTTTTCATGTACACTATGACAACCCTAGTGAAAGGACTATTCTGTAGAACTACGGAATAAAACCCAACTGCTTGAATTTGACTCCTGTCTTCAACCCGGCTCCAGTAGAGAGAAAACAAAGATTTTTGATGCCTTGACATGCACCAGCTATCCAGAGGGCACTTAGTTCAGCTCACAGGGTGAACCTTTAGGATCAATTGACCACAACCAAAAGGTACTGCTAGGGAGGGATGGTCACTGCTTGGGTTAGTGTACTTCCCCTTCTGCTCTGCTGGGACTGTGTGGTAACATGGGCATAGTCACTGTGCTGGTGCCACTCTAGTTGAAAATTCCTTTTTTGAGGGTAGTCTTGTGTTGACAACTCATTTAACCTTAAATTCACAGCCAAATACTGTAAATAAGTTTGTTAATGATAGTATTTGCTTGCATCAGTGGTGTTTGTTTTGCTGCTGTGAAGAGTTCCTTCACTGCTCTTGGAGCACCTCCTCTAGAAGCCTTTAAATGCACGTTCCAGATCGCTGCACCTTTGTGGAGGTGTTTGCGTGGAGTAATACTGAGCTGCAAACTGTGCTCCAAACATTGTCACTGGGCAGGAAAAGTACAGGTGGTCAGGCTTTGCGTGTCCCCGTTTCTCTGACCTGGGGCTCTGCCGTACCAGATACATGTGCCTCGCTAGTACGAGGTGCAGCCTTCTCTGTGCTGCTCCTTTGGCCGAGCGTAAGCAGGGGAGAGTGGAGCCCTCCAGTGCAGTTGCTTTGCTGGCTGATGCATGCAAGCCATGTCAGTGCTGTAGCATGTACTCGTGTCCAGTCGTGCACACGCTCAGCAGAGTCTGATCTCGGTAACTACTGCAGCTTTTGTGAAAGGAAATGGAGGTCTCGGTCCTATTTGATCTTTTATTTCTAGGTAAGATAGAGGAGAATTTGCACATAGTCTGATCTTTCTTTCTGGAGCTCTCTTGGGAAGCATTCTCTGGCTGGTAGAGGAGAGAGGTCTTGCCTCCAAGGGAAAGGACTATGGGTCATTTTGTCTGCTGGTCTCCAAGGCAAGGTGGTGCAAGACAGTCAGTCGTATTGAGTGCACTATGCTTATAGCACTGCAAGACTTAAATTCTGGATTTAATCTAGGATAAACAATGATCTTTTCGGTAGGCTTACAAACTTCAGGTATTGGTAGTCACGGAAGGTGTGAACCAGGGGTGGACTTACTCTGGCAGGTGTCATTCTAGTAATTACAGGTCAGAGGAAGTAATTTTGTCCCAGAGAACGTTACTTATTATAGCATACATTGGTGTGATACTGGCCTAACAAGATAATTTTAATACCCATAGCACCTGTTAACAGAAAAAGGTTGGAGAATCTAAATTTCATCTTCATCAGCACTGAACTACACTGGCTTTGCATTGGGAGCAGAATCACGTGGGAGGGGAAGTCTTACCTTCTGTCAGGAGGCACAGATCATCAGCATTACTGCATTAGCAAAACAAGACAAACTTGCTAATTTGGCCTCAGTTGAAAGCTCCTTCACAAAGTGCTTTGTACTTTGCTAGAGGGAGTGGAAGGATTAAACCCATATATCCTGACCTAACTTGAATGACTGGTTTAAGGGGATTCCAAAATTTCATAGGCAGTGAGTACTCAGAAATCCCTTCGAGCTGTCTCTGTCCCTGGGATGGTCCAGATACACTCGGTTAATGTTCTTCTTTCTGAGCTTCTGCTAACTGATCTAATTAGCACAAAACAGGAAAGTTGACTCCCCTAATGATGACAACAGAATGAATTTAGTAATAGCATTTATTGCCTCTAGTATTGTTTTTCAACTAATCATTCCTTAAGAAAAACTGTTAGTTTCTGAGGTGATCTGGGTCATCACCGGTTTCTATTAGAGGGCAGCAGGTAATTTATTTGTTAGCACCATTTGCCATCTGTCAGCAAATCGAATGATTTTGTACAGAGAACAGTTCATAAAGGAGTATCTCAGGATGGTCGGTAGATGTTACCTTGTGGATGAGGTGCATTGTCAGCATGCTGCTGTCCTACAGAAGCATATAGCGACCAGCAAAGTGAATTGCCCTGTGAGCATACACCCAAAAAGCCTCTACACAGTCCATTACCGTGGGATAGCTGATGGGCTGCAAATTCACATCGTATCTTCATAGTAACCTGTTCCCATGGCAGGAATGGCTGAGCAGTGACATACGACTCACATTTGAATTGGGTCGAGGCATGAAATCATAACATTACCTAGTTGTTAAGGTGCCTAACTTAAATTCCCTGTATGGTCAATGTGAAGCAAAAGATTTCTCCAGCAGGTACCACACAGCACTAAATGGATGCACTTCAAGATTTCTGTTTTTGGTTCTCTGTTACTAGCCATGGCCTGCTGGTACTTGAACCCATCTCATCAAAGGAGCTGGAAGCAGACAGAACTTGCCAGACAGGACCTGTGCTACCTGTGCAAGAGCAGAAAGAAAACAGGCCTGTTCAGTTCTTTTTCTTAATGACTTTTTTATTAAATTTTTACTGAGCAGGCACATTGTTGCTTAGATAGCCTGAGTTGTTCAAGGTATGCAGCTTTGATGGTTTAGTCTGTTGGAATGAATCTTAGGGAGAATTTCTTCCAAGCTATAGGACCATTTCCCTTAAAATACAGAGAGGCATCATACCTGGTGATTGTAATCTAAATAATCTCATTATCCTATTTGTTCCCTCAGTCACAACTTGTGAAAGCATGTTCAAGTGTTCATGTGCTTTCCAGTTACGGTTCCAACCTTCCACTTCAGAGAATGTCACAGCTACTGAGTGCAGATACGCAGGAGAGAGAGACCTATGGAGTAAGACAAAATTGTCCATGCATACTTCTGTTTCATGTTTCCCTCCAGGGATGTGTCATGAATTGAAAAACTACACACACAATCCTTCACCTCATTCATGTTTTAGCATAATAACATTTTATTCTTTCTTTTCTAAAAATTCCCAGCGTTGAATTTGCCTTTTCTTAATAACTGCTAACACTTCTTAGAGCTATGTGTTATAATCTCAAGATGTCATTTGGGGGTAATAGTAGCTCCTCCTTGTGAAAGTAAAATTAGGATCCTGTTTTCCCAATGCATCATTTTGTTGGTCAGTGTAAACATAAGTAATCTGGATCTCTCATCCCATTGCTTAGTGAAATGAAGTCCTATAGCTCTTTGTAGTCAATCCTCTTTACTTCCCTGGATGATGGCACGTGAACTTTGCATTTCACTGTTCACCTCCTTTTCAGCTTTTTATGAACACAGCAATTAGCATGACCCCAGTGCTGTGGTATTCTGCGGGTGACCTCTCTCTGTTGTGAGCACTGTCAGTTCCTGCTCTGTAGCTTTCGAATAACCATTTATTCATGTGGAAAAGCTTCTCCGTTATCTCGTGGTAGCTTTGTAAAGAGCTTTCAGTGAGAGAGCTCACCAACACCCTGTGGAAATCTGTATCAAAGGATCTCACTTGCCACATGCTTGTTGAATGATCTGCCCTATTGTAACTCAGCTACATTTGTTGTCGTATGAAGCCATGTATCCATGCTATAAACTACTGAAACAAGCCCTCATCGGTCATGTTTTATAGCTCACCGTTTTAGCACACAGCTAAGTTTTAAACTTACAGTGAATGGACTCAGGTGTCCAAACTCTGACCTCACAGATGACAGGAGTTCAAATGGGAATTTGTGATGTCATGCTCTGATCCTGCTGATGAACTGAGAATTGTCAAGATGATTTCCTTGAGTAAAAGGAAACAAGAAAGACTTTTAGTGTGATAATATTTAATTTATTTTATTTAGCAAAGAGTTTCTGCAACTCTGTCTTTGCTGCAAGTTCTCTGAACTCAGACTAACTAGTCATCAGCCACTTCATGATTTGCTGGTACAGGACAAGAAAGCAAGCAAGCTTATAACTTGCCGGGTCCTCTTGTTTGCTTGCCAACACAGCTACTCATCTTCTAAGAATCTACTTTCATATGAAGATCCAAACCGAGCAAAGGAGACCAAGCAGAGCAGTCTGGCAGCAATTCAGCCGCTCTGGCTGAGGTTTAACATTTGTAGTTGTTACTGCAGAATGGTCTCTTTCATCTATAGGGTGCTTTAGTGCCTTGTTGTTGAAACTGCCTATCATCACACTTGCTTCTTTGATTGTTATATTAAAATAGACCACAGTCAGTGATCTGCAAATTTCAGGAATCACCTTTGAGGCATATTTACCAAAACCACTGTGCCCCTCCTGAAGCCTGTCATCTCTGGGCTCTTTTGTAAGAAATCAAAATTGTGGCTTTCTGTTTCCGAAACCTGCGTGTGATTGGCACGGCTGCTCGAGGGTCTTTGCTCAGCTGTGTGCAGGCTGGGTGTGCAGTGGTACCCGAGGCCCTTGTGCGTGTGCCGTATGTGTTGCATTAAAGTTTTTAATTAAAGGTGTAATGACAGTGTGTATATGGCCCGTGGCTAACCTTTGGGGCTGGTAGATAGTTTGCCTAATAAACAGGAAAACAAAAGATTGTCCTCTGCTCTGTATTTACACAAGTGAGCAGATAAGACAGCTCTCCCTTGGACTTTGGGGAAGAATGGAGTAGAAAGCTGAATCACACTGGGCAAACTACAAGACCAGTCTGCTGCCAGAGCA